TGAATATATAAAAAAAGTTAGAAGTAGCTCTCTTTGTAAGGTGAAAATCATCTGCTTACAAATAAGATGAATGATTTAGTAGATGTATTAAAACATTTTGTTTGGTTATTCATTGTCTAATGTATTCTATTCAAGAGTTTGCTTGAATAGTGAACAGAAGTTTCTTTAAACATTGAAATATTCTTTCCATTTTGTTTTTGATGTGCTACAAATATCTTTTCCAGTTTGTTTATTACAGTGATTGATTTGCTTGGATATCAGCAGAAATCTATCCTTTATATTGCCTTCATTATGTCATTATTTCCATGGCATTTTACAATTTGCTAGTACTTGACTCCTCCATGAACTACTGATTCGAACCTGTTACAGCGATAGCTTGCTAGTTCTTTTTACCTTGTCTCAGTTTAACCCCATTTTGAATTTGGGTTTTCTTTCACTGAACCAAGTTGTAAATTCTGCACTAGGATATATTCTCTAAATACATGCCAAGTACTCAACATACCCTTAAAACAACATTCAGGACAAATTTTCTGAATTTTAGGATTATATTTTCATCGAATTGTAAAGGGAAAAGCTTTCAGGAAGCCTTCTGAAAGTAGGATTATTACAAAACCTGCTTACTAATAACCATAAGTTCTATGGTAACAATTTCTTCTCTTGCATTTCTCACTTGTGGAACTCTTTTCTGGCTTCTTGCTTTACAGTCAACCTGGACTTTAAAATTTTCAAGATCAATGTCAATTGTTTCTGTCTTAATTCCTATTCTTTTAATGTGCTCTCTCAATAATGTTTTTGTTTTTCATATTCTTTCATGCTCAGTAACCCTTTGCATATTAGTGACTTTATTGCTTTGCTTAAGGCGAAATGATCAAAAAAAATTAACTCAAGTTGGATGTTCCCCCCCCCCTCCAAACTGAAGCTTTTGGTTATACTTTGGTTTGATTTATACCCTCAAATTTATATTTTCTCATTTTTTACAAAACTACATCGCTTGTCACCAAACCATTAAACATTTATATTATATATATATATATATATATATATATATATATATATATATATAATATAATTTACTATTGTTATAAATTTACTTTTCTGGTATAAATATTCTAAATTTAACAAGTGCCAACTTGTCATCAAATTTCCCTAATCTTTACTGGTACTATTATTAAACATTTTTTTTTTTTCGTACATTTAGATTGAATTTAGTATTCTCCAAATCATAGAAATGCACCAGATCTTTGATGATAGAATTCTCCATGGTTCACAACATATTTTTCTTGTTAGCCATCAGATTAACACCATGAAAGCCATGAAGAGTTATGTAATCTATAATAATTGTCTGAAGTGCAATATAATCTCTTCACAGATTACTACTTTAGTTCAAATGATACAAGTTAAACTATATTTCTCTGTTGTAATGAAAAATAGTCTTAATATTTTTGAATGCAAAAGGATTAACTATATAACTCTGAAATGTCAATATATAATTTTTATAATTATATCAATGAATAGGTAAAAAAAAAAATATAAATGTCTTTTTTTTTTTTATGAATTCTGTTTGGTTGTAGATAAACCTTTTAGTTAAATTATTTAGTTAGCTGGGTGCATAACTGTATTTAAATTTCTTGTCAGTAAGATTTAGTTTTAGACCTCTGTTCAAAATAGTAAAATGTATTATGCAATAAAAATTTTATTTAAAAAATATAAATTTTGATATTAATTTACATTGAATAAATAATGGAAATTATAGATTTTAAAAAAAAAAAAATTCTTTTTATATGAAACTCTTGTGAGTCTAGGCAGAATACAACTAAATGACAGTGTCTTAATGAAGAATTTGTTTGATAAAACAATTGTCATTATGTTTTAAAAAAAAAAAGCAAAATTGTAAAGCAAATAACAGAAAAATATGAAAGTTAAAGAAGACCAAATGTTGTTGGCTTGATTTAAGTTAATATTAAGAATGGCTGTACTATCTTAGGAATCATTCTTTTCATTTCAGATATTCCATAAGTTAACTAGGAAAGTTTTTGGGACATTCTCACTCCATTGTTATTCTCAAAAACATTTCTTTAACATTGTTACTTTTACATTTACGATCAAGATATTGATTTCTTTATTTTAATAAAGATGAATGAGGGATATACTGATCCAAAAGTATGCAAAAATAGTATGACATAAGATTTGTTCATTGAATGACTTACTTCTTCAAATTTGCATATTAAGTAAATCATAATCAATGATAAGAAGTGAAAGGAAATTATCAGATTCTAATTAAAATGAGTCATAAGAGAATCCTATTTTAAAAGAAATATTTTCTCTTTCAGATCTTGACATGCAGCCCAATTCCTGGTTTTTCCGTTGAGAGAATTTTGTTCAACAAATCTGGCCACAGTTTAGCAATATGGGGTCAGGTTGGCATAACCATTATACAGATGCCACAAACATGGGAAAGGAATGTGTTATTTACTGAAAGCAAAGAAAACATCCTTTGTCGGTAAGTCTTGTTGGTTTTACATTTTTTTTTTAATCCATTTTAATCCTTAGGTATCACAATTCTATGGAGGTACTTATGTTATTTTACTTATTTAGGATTAACAAAGGTTTATTTAAGAAAGTATATTGGCTGTAATTAAAAGAAAATATCAGTTTTATTTTAAAATTTTCTAAGGAAGAGCATACCATGATGGAAAAAGTCCCAAAACATTATAAAAACAGTTTCATCATCAAAAGGTTTAAAAGGAAATCCTTTCTATCTTTTTTGGTGTTAAAAACTTTATTTTTAAAATTCTTCCAAAAATCAAATAATTGTCAGATTTTAATGAAATTTTCAGGACTTACTCACAAAAGAATTAAAATATTCTTTAAAATTCCTTTTTTTTTTTTTTTTTTTTTTTTTTACATCTGTTGCCCCCACCAGCTCCTTCATATTTATATCAGTTAAAGCAGGACTCCTTAGAGAATTTAAATTATCAATCTGTTTTTGTCAGACAGAAACACCATTTACCAACAATCTGCTCTGAATTGTAGAATAAAAAATACAATAAAACTTTGAGATTATTTAATTAGAAAAGCTTTTAATTGCTTTTATAAATAAGATACATTAAGGATACTTTTCATGAAAGCTTTTTCATTTTTAAAAATTCATTTTAAACCTTAGGTATCACATTTTTTGTGAACACTGTAGTTTTATTGTATTATTTTTCATATTTAAGATTTCAAAACGTTTTTTAATGAATCCTAATTCCAAAATAAATAATGTATCTAAGCAATCCTAATTCAAAAGTAAATGAATAAGTACTGTATTTAGAAGGTAACCTTTATTCATAAAAATTCAGTATTTATTTATGAGATAATCATCATTATTAATTTATATATCATATCTATCTAATAATAAAAATATTATTACATAATGAATGTTATCATAAAAAATTATTAATAATTATAAAAAAATTTAAATATAAAAATATAATTTTTTTTATTTAATGTATTTTGCTTGTGGTACATGCCAGCCCTGCCCTTGCATTGCAGTCACATGACAACACAGCCATGAAATTCAAACACACTATCATTTGGTGATTGATTGAAGTCACTTGGTGTGACAGGACAAACTTTTACTCTATAAACAGTGATAAATGTTCACTTATTTCAGTTTGAATAAAATTTATATTAAGATATAATATTCTAAACAATTTCTGAAAAGTATTTCTTTCATCTTAATTTTAGTTGCTTAAAATTTTTAACAATCTTCTACCATCTTTCAGGCAACTTTACAATTCCATTCTCCAAGAACTGTTCTTGGTGAGAATGTGCAGCTTTCAAATAAACTGAAAGTATTATTCATTAAGAATATTCTGTAAAGACCAGAAAAAAAATGGTGATTCATAGGTGCAATATCTAATACTATGGATATTTTGTGAAATACATCTGTTTGATACTTTGGTACACATCATCAGTGACATTTTTAGCCAAGGTTCATTAGGGATTTTGGGTCTTTCAACATCATACTCCTTCTTCATAGTGACCCAGCCGATTCTGATCAGTGTCACATTCTTTGGGTGAAGATGGATTGGTCCAGTTAGTAGTGGTCCATTTTCCTTGCTTTGTAATTGCTTGTATTCCACATTATCATAAAGTTGCTACTTTTTATCAACTATCACAATTTATTTTTGTTTTTTATTTGTTGTATTGTCTAGTATATCCCTACTTCATATTTAATTTAAATGGAAGCCACTGAACAAAAAGATAGATTTTGGAAAGTAGTTGGACCAAGATATTTTCAGGACCACCTCAAAATGTACATATTTTTTTTCTTTCTTTTAAGAATGAAAACTTCTGGAAAGGATTTTAACTTCACTCTAAAAGTATGATGTAAAAGTAAAATGTATCCCAAATTTAAATAAACTTTAACTTAAAAAGACCAATAGGAAATAAAGTCACTCTGTTGGAGATTCAGGATGACTAAGGTAACTTAACAGATATGCCTTGGTCTAAATAATCCAATGTTATTAAATCTTTTTAATGTCTTTTTTTAACTGGTAGTGATTTGCATTGTCATTATCTAAGAGTGTGCTTGCTATTTAGAGCTTTATTAGCACACTAATGGACACAATTTTATCTTCAAGCAATTTTATTACTTGTTGACAGAAGTCATCAAGTTTGTGTCCCTTTCTTTCATAGTAACTCCTTCCTCATGCAACTAGTGATCTTACCTTGGTAGATATATGCCAAATAAATTATTAGCCTTATGGCTTAAGAGAAAGAATGTCCTTTATTAGTGGGTGGCTCTCTTTTTGGCAACTTTATTTGTTTTATACCTGGTGCACTTGCTATTTGGATATGTAAAGTGCCCTAGTTTTATTTACCTAAATTACACAGAAAATTTTACACAACAGATAGATATATATACAGCAAATACTGGTACACTTTTCTTTTCTTTTTTTAAAAACTCAAAATGGACACATCATGCATTTTGAATCTTTTTTCTTTATTTTCTTTTCTTTAGAATTGTACTGCAAGCTGCAGTTTAAGCAATGTTCCTTCGTTCCTCACTGTATTTTTTTCTCTATCAAACTGGTTTTTCAGTACAAATTTGTTTACTCTGTCTCTTTTGCTGTCAATCTGTTCTGTGAAATTTTCCAAACCCACTTTCCTCATTATGTGCCTTTAGAAATTTCAACTATTTCTTTCTTGTCTTACACCCCTTTGAAGATGAAGAGTTAGAAGCCATGAGTTTTCTTGGGATTGATAGTGGAATGGTTTCCCATTGCCTTCTCCACACTGATTTTATTGAGACACCACCTCTAGTTGGCCGTTGACTCCTCAAAAGTTCTTCGAACCTTTGATAGGTTTTATTTTACATCCTACAGGGTTGCTAACAATCTACCTCACTCACAAGAAATTGGAATGGTGAAGTGCTGGTTTAGTTGCCAACCATCCAACAATAACATACACATACACACACACCCACAAATTGGAGCGTCCTGGGTATGGCGATAAACTACATCTGCATCCTGGGTATGACGATAAGCTACGTCCAACAGCAAGACCTCTGATAATGTTTATGAAGAAATAATGTTGCCAGCTATATGTTTTTGAAAAAATAATATTACCAGCCATACGTTTTTGAAAAAATATTATTACCAGCTATACATTTTTGAGGAAAAAATATTAACAGAAATAGATTTTTGAAAAAGAAAAAATATTACCAGGTTAAAAAAAAAAGTTGTCGGCATTAAATGACTCATTGAGGTTGATATGTCGTAAAACAAAACAAAACCACAAATTGGAATCTCAGTACAAATTCTCAGTTCTTAAAATTACAATTTGTCAAATTGTTTTTAAATTTATATTGTTTGAAGCACACTCCAGGTCTTCATGTACACAATAAACTCATAATCTTCTTTCCAAGATTAATTCTATAACCATTGTATTATGACATAGCAACCAGAAGTCATTAATTTTTTACCGCATTCTCAAGTACCAAATTCTTTGATATTTTAAAAAAAAAAGAAATAACTGATATTAAGTTACTGATAGAAGTAAAATGTTTTTACTGTACACAAAAGTCTTTAATTTTTGTTTAACAGTTTAAATTATTTTTTTGATATTATTGCCTTAAATACGATTTTATTTCTTTCTACAGTAATTCCTTCACATTACTAATGATCCACTCAACATTTGTTGTCAAACCACTTTTGTTTCTTGTAGAAAATACTTTAGAAAATTAATTTAAGTCTTCATTTAATAAGTCAAGAACCAGAAATTAGCTGAGCTTTCAATGCAAACAGAATTATCTTATTACTTTTTTCACTAAAAAATATTTGTATTTTTATTTTAATAACACCAAATCAACATATTAATATTAAAATATTCTACCTAGATTAACCAACTTTAAACAATTGGAAAAAAGGAAGATAGAATTTAGTATGCATAGTTTACTCTCAAAATTTTTTAAAAATTCCATGTGAATACTTTTATTTCGATTTGGAATTTGATGACAAGCCATATTTATTTACTTTATGTAAAAAGGAAATGATTTATCACTTAATATATTAGAAATATTTATCTTGTTTGCTTTTTGTATATTTTTATATGAATATTTCAAGTACCTACCTGTTCAAATATACTTGCATGTATTATATGCATAGGTCCATTAATAAGTTCACAACCTAATAATTAAGAAAAGCACTTATTTTTCATAACATATATTCATTTTACATCATAATTACCTTCCTTGTCAATGGCTTACTTCAGTGGTGAATATTAATTTCATATTGAACATTCCAAAGCAAACATTTCAAATCAAAATTCAGCAAATAACTACATGTCAAGCTACAGATTTCTTGATTTACCCTCATAGAAGCAAGATGAACAATAAATCAGAAAAATGAACCTTGTTCATAATTTTCAGAAATCTCTTAAGGATATTGCCATCATCATCTTTAGATGAGAAAATGTTTGTGCAAGGAGCAATCTAGTTTTCCATACTGTTGGTCTCATCTAATAGCAGACATTTTTTCTTGTCAAATGAGAAGTACACAAAATCATTCAATTATCAAACTGTCCTGAGGTGAAATTGATGTCATTTAGAATTTGTATTGTTCCTGAAATTTCAATCTGTGATGCTTGCTAAAGCTTTGTAGATTAAGTTGTTTTTGCATGAAAAGCAACTGACAGACTGCATAGAGAGAGAACAAAAGAATATTCTCTGCAGTTGCAACAACATAATTAGTTGTGTTTCTTGCTTGTCAGGATCAGTTGGGATCCTTCACAAATCACTCTGAGGTAGTAAGGAGAAAGTAGTGGTGTCAATTGTATGGTTGGATATATGCCTAAAGTAAACAATGTTTTTACTACTTATTTTTTTATACATATATGTGCAGTCTGCAAGTAAACCTTCTCAGTTACACCACTGATTGACAAGTACAAATCTCTATGCAAGGATATGAGATTGTCTGCTGAGGTGAGCATATTAGAGACACTTTTTGCCTAATC